TTTCTCCACCAAGGGGATGGGCAGTCCACTTAAGAAGACAAATACTCACCTTTCTGACTGTTATTGAGAGCAGGTTTTAATAATGCCATAATAGAATTATATGCAAATTACTACAGAAATCTAGCAGAAGATATGATTTTTACTCTGGAGTAGTAAACATTAGAGAAAGCTTCACATGGGAGGTAATGTTTACACAACACCTTTTAAGGATAGATAGAATTTCAATAGGAGAAAAGGTAGAAACAGCATGCTTGGCAGAGAGAATGACATGAGCAAAAATATATGGAGGTATATTAGGTATGCAATGGATTATGCCCCAGCAATCAGACTCATACAGTAAAGAATTACTCAGTTTAGGATCAATAAAGATGCAGGACATAGATGTTTGTACGTGACACTAAGGTAGCTTGGGAAGGACATTAGTGTTGACTCAGCTCAGCGTCCCTAATCTTTCTCAGTCTCATAGAGATGCATTTCCCAATGGATTCATAGATTAAAGACTTTAGGTTATATCTATAGGCACAGCGGATAAACACCAAGGGTTTTGAAATGAGGAATGACTCTATTCAATTTTTCCCTGTATATGAAAATGTCAGTAGTTTATGGCAACGACAAAAACCATTTTTCTTACTTATGGGTCTGCGGGTCAGCAGTGGTTCAGCTAACTTCAACTGGACTTTCCTCAGCCCCATGGAGCTAGGGCAAACTCCAAGCTTTAACTCTTTGGGTTAAATTTGGGGTCGAGTCTTTATTTTTTCTCCTAGAACCAGCAGTTAGGCAACGACTCAGCACTTGCCATTCTTACAGTAGAGCCTAAGAACACAAAAGGATTCGTGGGCCACAGAAACACAGAGGCCTCGTCTGTAAACCTGCACGCTGACACTTCTGCCCATCTCACGAGCCAACATCGATGGGACTGGGAAGCAACTCTAGCCACGGTGAGATATGTGGTAGATTCCGTGGCAAAGGGCACAGAGGCATAATTCTAATACAGAGAGAGAACAAAGAATTGGAAACAACTCAATCTATTAATACTTCAGTGACCTCGTTGGACCTTGTTTTTGAAAAATAACTGTCAGCTGAAGAGGAAAGGGAGAAAAGATGTTAGCAGACATAAACTCTTTCTAAAACAAGATAAAGAAGGGAGGGAGTAAGGGTAGGAGGAAGAGATGAGAGAGGAGAGGAGTGCTTTGACTGGAAGTTGAAAAGATTAGGAGCCCAGGGCAGAATATTATGCAATTCTAAATGCTCTAACTGTGCAGGGCTCTAATTTAGGGCAGTGGAGAGGGAAGAAAACTAAGAGTCATTGAATAGCTATTATATTCAGAGCACTGTGCTAGGCAATTGATATATCCTATATCATATAATCCCTACAACAACACTTGCGGGTTGGTATTATTATGCTTATTTCAGAAAAGATGAAACTGAGGCTCAAAGAGGTATGTAACTTGCCAAGGATAACCCAACAAAGAAGTAGCTCTGCTAGGGTTGTCAGAGTCCAAAGTCCATTTTGGAAGAAGGGAACTGAACTGAGAGACATCTTAGAAATCAAATTTATAGGACTTGCTGTCCTAATTAGATATGATGGTAAACAGAAAGAGGAAAGTCAGATAACTCTTAAGCTTCTGTGTGGGCGAGGGAGTGATAGGTCCTTCATTAACTGAGATGGGAAACAGAGTGGGAAAGCTAGTTTTTGAGCTGAAGATACATTTTTTTTTTTACTTATGTTGATGATACCGATACATTTGCGTGAGATGTCCCACAAATGTTCAGAAATTTGTTTCTCAGAGCTCAAGAAAAGAAGGAAGTCCTGGAGAAATCACTCCAGAAATAGGGGCAAAAGCATTCCAAGCATGGAAAATTCTATTAGCAAAGATACAACTGGGTCTTGTACAGTTCATGTTCAAGGAATGGCTAGCAATTTACTGTACTGTTTGGGCATACGTGTGTCTAATCGCATTTATTGGGTACACATAGCAACATAGTAGATTAGGCTGATCTCAATTCGCCTTGAATGCTGGAATAGGACATTTGGACTTCTCTCAAGGAGGAGCCACTACACGGTTTTACACAAGGGCTGACTTCAGAGTCTGGCTTTTAGGAAGACTCGTGTAGTAGCAAGATACAAGCTAGACCAAAGGTGTGAGGCCATGTGGAAGACTATTGCATTCGTTTTTGTAAGCACTAACAAGAACCTAAACAGGGGAGTGGCAGTAGGAACAGAAATAAAGGAACAGATGGGAGAATTGCTTTGGAAGAAATTATTGTGCAGCACAGTAACCATTCTGCATATCGTTAAATATGCGTCAAGTTAATTTTGTAACTTCATTCGGCTCTAATGGTTTCCTCTCTTCAGGTGTGCAGAGCCTTCATGATTTATTGGTCATCTGTTCATATATTTTAATTAAGAGTTATAATTTCCATGAGGGAGAGACTATGACTCTTTTGTTCTCTACTATTGCCACAGCATTCATCAGAATAGGCACCGATTAAATACTTACTGAATGCATGGATGGATGGATGACTACTGCCCCTGCACAAATCAGCATACCCGTTTCCAGGGTCTTCAGTCTTGCTCTTCCCTGCCCCTGTCCGTCCTCCCCCCGCCATATATTTCCCTCCCTCTCACTTCTTTAAGGTTGGTCTGGGAGAACTTGCCTTACAAGAATAATCAGACCACTGAGCAGTCTGCATTCTGTGAGATACTGCTGTGATGGTTGTTGGCTTTTTGTCTTCCAATCATTGCCTTCAGCCAAGCTCAACTGACTCTCTCCTTACTATTTCTTAATATCATCTCAGACATATACAATAGCTTTCCAATCATGTAATATTTTGGAAACTTAGCTCCAATCCATTTTAAGCCTACAGTTTTATTTTCTTCACGTCCCCCACCCCAAATTTAGGCATCCCCAAAGGCACTGGCACCTCTCTCCTTTATGATCCTAAGTTATCTGGCATCGGGACAAGAAGGAGGGATTGGAGGGAACAGGCAAACTTATTTATGCTTAACTATCAATACATTTGCCTTGCAGTCCTCTTGTGGGTTCCCTGATTCTTTGGCTAACACTGACCATCCACAACCTCTGTGTGGCAGTTGGCCACTGATGGTTCCCTCAAAGGAGTGACATGCAAGTGCTTGGGGGCAACCTGTGGGAACCCCATTGCACAGTTCTCTGATGTGGGACAGCTGACTCTTCCACAGATGGAGTCATGAGGACACCATAAGCTTGTCACCAGTGTCTACTGCTGGGGTGATCAGCTTCTTCAATGGGCTAACAGCAAGACCTCCCTGATAGGCTATTAATTTCAACTCCAGTGATACTCTCTTCCTTCCTCCTTTCCCTTTCTTCCTTCTTTCTTTATGGGGCTGCAGTGAGTGGTGTGGTTAGCAGTTAGTTCAACCACCTCTCAATAGGTCCTGGAGAATACATTTAGCCCCAATATTTTTGTAACTCTCTACAGAATATGAAAGTACTTAATACCTCCGAGCCTACTCTTTGTGTCCTAGTCTCCAATTGTACACATATATCACATCCAGTTATTTGTGAATGCCACTAAACTTCATTTTGCAAACCTCAAGTTGTCATTTACATTTGTAGCTACTGTGTAAGAAATACTGAGTTAAGTGTTACGTGAACAAACATTTAATGAGTAGCTAAAATGGGTCGGTTGATGTAAAAATGAAATATGAAAGTCTGATGCCATTCAGACTCCAATGCAAATAATGAATTGCACTGTAACTTTCAAATAGAGGGCGTTTAAACCGCAAAATGGAAACTAGATTAGGGAGTAGAACAACAGGAAAGAGTAAAGGAGAAAAAGTAACTTTAAAATGAAGGAGTAAGGAGAATCTCAAAAATGAGAACTCTGCAGAGCGACAGAAAGTGACAGAAATCTTAACATGTTTAAGATTAACATCTGAATCCCTGGTACCCAGGCTAATCTTTTCTCTGCTCACAAATCAGACTCATATAGATTTCCATTAGTATTTATCTCCTTGAATCTGAAGGAAGAGGAAAATCTATGCTGTGTTTTGCCCAGTTTTGCAGTTCCCATCATAAATTTCAGTGAAGGCTCACGTCCGGTCAATGAGGTACCGGCTGTCCTTAATAACTGAAGTATCAGATGGATGGTATGGCAGGCAAAGCAGCCCAAGTTTTAGAAGTGAGTCACTTCAAAAACCAACAGCCACAAATTCAGCTGAAATTTCAAATCAAAGCTAAAAGACTAGAATAATCCATACAAAATTTTAAACCCAGAAGTTCCTCTTGCTTAAATTACTTTCACACTCCAATTTAAACTCAGAAACATTATGTTGCTGTCACACTTCTTTGTTCTTCTAAAGTATTTTTAAAAAAATCCGTATATAGCTGACAAAAAATAGGAGGCTGTCTGCCAGCCAGCTCTCTATTCATGCCTGACATACTGTGGAGTCGATACAGAACACATGGTCCTAAAACACCCAAAAGCCTCTTCTTCACTGGTTCACCCCGGCAGTATGTTTCTCCAGCATGTTTGCACTACCTACAATACATGTCTTGCATAAGCATGAATTCCTTTTGAATGTTTAAGTCATGCGGTATTTTTCACATGCTTCACTATTGTACCTACGAGGCTTATCATCTATACTTCGGAAGGGCACGTCCTTGTGCCTTCAGCATTGAATTTAATGCCACCCAACTGACATCATTTTCAATTCCATCCAACAGAATGCCAATAATGTCTATAATAGAAGTTTGACACATTTAGATCTTCCAAATACAGAGTTAATTTAGCAGCTAAATTGGAAATTTCTGGGTGTATTTTTGAAAACTAATCCAGCATGAAAATTATTAATGGCTTAAAATTATGCATCGAGTATTTTCTTTTTCTTTATTTGATTATCCAGGAAGATCTGTTGCTTCATATCAGATAAGTTTCCAAGAAGAAATATGCCTTCTGTTGTTGGAACACAAGGTAAACAGTGTAAATTAATCCTAATGTGATTTCTTTCCTTACAGATGAGACCCATTGGTCACGATGGCTACCATCCCACCTCTGTAGCTGAATGGCTGGATTCCATCGAACTGGGAGACTACACCAAAGCCTTTCTCATTAATGGCTACACATCGATGGACCTGTTGAAAAAAATCTGGGAGGTTGAACTTATTAATGTAAGTTGGTTTCTTAATGACTCCTTACACAGTCAACCCTTGATAAAGAAGCTTTTGTTGCAGGTGGGTAATTTTTTCTTCTTTTATAACTGTTTGGACATTCAACGTGGATTCACAGATAAGCCTTCTGTTTTAAATATCTATCTTTCAAGCTGCAGAGTCACTGTCTTTTGAAGTTTTGATGTAGGGAACTAAGAGATAAAGAGAACTCTCGGGGTATTTTGCAATATCTAAGGAAACCTTCCAAGAATCTTTGTGTTTCTTCCTCTTTATGACATTTTGCCAGTGTAGGTTATGGATGTGATAACAAATAGTCTCCCATTCTGATCTTTGCTCATATTCACTGTTGAAGATTTAAATTATCATTTTTTCATTTTCTATCTCTATTATATTTCCTGGGCTCTGTTCCTTAATTGTATAGATAAACACCATCCTTGAGGAGACTACTTTTGTTCTTACTAAATAAGTTGCTGTAATATCAAAATTTCATTTTCTAAAGCTGGTGTCTAATCTTATGTTGTCTCTGTTTTATTCATATACTTGGCATAGATTTCCTATAAAAACTGGCCAACATATGTTACCATATATTCAAGCCCAAAGAGATCAACTAAATCTACATAAATTGTTTTGATACTTTTCTCATTTCATTTTTACTTCTATTGTTTTTCTAATGGCATAAATAAACAAATGAATGAGAAGATAACATAAAATGATCATGCATTTGAATTATATTTGGCACGTAAACATTTCTTTTTAAAAGTGACAGTAAGAAACCCTTTAATCTTTTAGAGAATTTTTTTTTAGTTTTGTATTTTAATGATCGGGGGAGAAAAGCATTCATAAACTGAAAGGTAAAGAAAACACATTTCTGCTGGTTCAAAAGTCTACTGTCTATGCTGCTTTCTCTCCCAAGGTCCAGTTCCTACATATTACACATCATAACTTATTTCAAATTATAAGTAACTACTTATTCTTTGCTTTTAAAAGTCTGTCTTAAAAATATCTTTTCTAGAATACCTTACAGAAATTATTCTTGAATCTAAAAATCACAGTAAATAGACAATTCTTGGCTTCTAATTTGCCATCACTAACTTCTCCTTAACATTTTGCTTATCTTGTCACAAAAGATATTATTTCAGAAGAAACTCACTGTCCGACTTAAAACATCTGGTTATTTTCATTTGTAGTCTGTGTGGCAATGGAATTAACTGAAGCTGTGCTGCTTTTTCGTTGCATCAGCCTGAGGTTTCAATTCTCTACCAACAGCTTGACCCGGATCTCGTAGCTACTCTTAGGTATTTGTTCAAGGGGGTATCTTCCATAGATCAACCAACCAAGCTTCCAGGCTGACTTGCATGCCAGTTAACGGGTTAGTGGTATAGCTTGACCAACATCCCTATGTAACATCTTCTGAATAATATTGTTCCTCTCTGAAGAATACCTACAGTAGGTCGCACATGAGTCACTCACCTGAGTGAGTGGCATTAGCAGTAATCCCCCTTGGAAAGAATGGATTCCAATAGGACTCTCTTATAACACGTGTTCTTTAAAGCAAGGATCATTGACAATGTGAGGCTCTATGTCTCTGAAAATCCATATGCTTAACTAGTGTTTAAGATGTGGGATCCGACCCTCACTTTCTATAGTGCTCATGATACCAGTGGTCTAGAGATCTTTGCTTAGTGACTGCAATTGGGCCTTGGAGACAACTACGGTTACCGCAGGGACAGTGATGGCCCCATCTTTACTGCCAGGGCTCAGAGACTGATCCACCACCACCCATGGGGACAGTCAGCCTTGATTTAAGACAGAAAAATGGTCTTTTCCACCCGTGCTGGCTCTTAAGGATTTTCCCTTTAGCTACACTTGCTATAATACAATCTGACTTTAATCCAGGAAGAAGAAGTGCCTGTCACAAGCATTGCATCTAAATTCGAAAACATAGTCACTACCTTTTAGATTTTAAGGCTTAACTCCTCTGGCCTGGAGCATACCATCTGTGTACACCACCAACCCAGTGTATTTTCCTTAAAGTAAACTTACTGAATTTAAAGTTCCTTGTGATGTCTCTATGAGCAAAATTCACACGCTTGGTGGTGAGGCTCTGCAAGTCATTTAACTCAGTGGATTTAATAATTATGGACAAAAATGGATCTGAACTTTTAGAATTGGAAATCAGAAAATAAAATTTTTATGCTCACTAGAACTGGGTAGTTCATTAGATGGTTTGGGTTTATTGGGTTTTAAAATAAGAAAAAGGCAAAATGTGTGGCTTTTGGTTAACAAGCTTTTGACTAATCTGAAATTCAAGACTTTTGTTTATCCCAACTAATGAGGAAATGTGCCCAAATATGAGGTAGTTTCATATTTAATACATGGCTTCAATAATCCTATACTAATAACCCGTAATTTTTTTGTTTTCTAGCCTAAAGGGAGTGTATAGTGACCTTGATTTAGAGCAAAGCCTTTTAGAGAAGTTCACATCCTGAATCACTGTAATGAGTGGCTAGTTTTAAGGAAACCAAATTACTCCACTAACTGCTGTTCTTTGTAAAGAGAGAAGTGCAAATGTAGACTGTGTTTGACACAGAGGTCTACTGGTGGAGGGGAGGAGAACAGAGGATGAGAAAATGAACTGCTGATATGCTTATAAATTATTTTAGCATCGTTACAGAGTGTTGGGTCAGCTTTCAGTGTCACACGGTTGTATGCTTGGTATTAGACAAAAATTAATATATTCTCAGTGAGTATAATGAATTTATTCAAAGTATTTCAACGAGGAAATGAAAACTATACAAAGTTGTAATTTGAGAAGTACAAATATATATTTGAAATTTTAATCTTTCAGAAAAAAGCTCCCAAAGGTCTATTTGTTGGTGGAGTACATTATTGCCTTTGATAAACAAGGTGATTTGAACAAGCCAAGAGGTGTTGGTTATGAAGCTACACAAAGTGCAGGGATGGGAGAGATTAGTGGAAATCTTAATATCAGCATTGTCAGCAGTGGAAATAGAGCAAAGAGAAACTTTTATGACATGAAGTATTGCCTATTTTACAGGCCCATGTGTGTCCACACTTAGACAATGAAATATAGGCCATTAATCGTTCCTTTATTCTTTAATCTATGCTTCATATTCAGAAGCTGATGTTTTATCGATAGTTCTGTTTTGCTCCTCTGTCTGCCACTATCATAAATAAGATCATTAATACTACTCTCATTGTTGTATCGATATTTCAGTGTTAAAATATGAATATGCTGGGAGAGATTGTCAGGCAAAATGTTCCTACTGGCTGGCTGGACCTCTGGTTTGAATTATAGTCCCATCCAAAGGCTTGTTAAGAGAATTAAAGACTAGTCAACAATGCATAAGTACGTGAATTTCTTTTTAACTCAGAAGGTCACAAAGACCTTGCATGTGATATTAGCAAGTGTAAACAACAGTTTCTACTGCTATTGCCAACCTCAACAGCCATGCATGGGGGAAATTTTAGATAAAAGGGCTATATATTGTCTTAGTTCTATGACAATAGAAATGTATATGGTTTAATTATGTAATAAAAATACCTATCTTAGAAACAATGCAGATAACCTCTTATCCATCTTCTAGACAAAAAAAAAGTATTGAAATTATGACAATGTTAATTTATTTTACTTCTGCATGCCTACTAAAGGGATGTGGGTAAGACTAAATAAATTTAAACACTGCCTAATTTAGTAATTTATGAATTTCAGTGAACACATGATTAATTTCTTCTCATTGGCCTTACCATTATTTACCAAGAAAATAATTCTAGCCCAGACTTATACTATCCTATGGTATTGATAGTAATAAAAGTACCCATTTCATGGATAAAATAAAATTCATATTTCAATGCATTCTTAAATATCTGCTTGTAAGTAGAAGAATAGCTTTTAAAAATTTAACTACAATGCTTATTTGTTTTTTAAATACCTTTGGGTAGAAACAACCAAAATAACTAAGGTAGCAATACCCATACGTATCTCATGAAAATTATTTCATGTGTCCCAGGAAAATAATTTAGAATTATTTTACAACAGTAAATTGATTAGAAGACCATTTGCTTCCTGCCTAATAGCTGCTGAAAATGTATTTACATCGCTCTTTCATTTAGGGACTGTCAGATTTCTTTCCTTTTTTTTTTTTCAATGTTGAATTTAATATTGATTTAATTTCTACCTTTCCAGGGAAATTTTGTAATAATCCAACCACTTGGAGATGTACTAATAATTTTCAAAGGAAACTTTCTAATTTTACATTCTTTAATATTGTAACTTTGGTTGCATTAAATACTGTAGAGATATTATCCTATGAGTATCAGATTTAGACTTATTACTTGCTTTGATTTTATATATATATATATAATCAGTATTATCAACTCATACTCCTGTCGGCCCTACCCTCATTGCTAAAACTGCAATTAAATTTATTCCCTAAAAATTTTTTCACGTTGTGTAAGTGTGTGTGTGTGTGTGTGTGTGTGTGTGTGTGGTTTGCATGTTGGATAAAGGCAAATTGTGACTTAATCCTCACAACCAAGAAAAATAATCAGCAAATTCACAAATTGCAGGGGAGGAATGAGAAGGATAAAAGTTCTAATTCCACTTCTAAACCAATTATTTTAAGTAAAAGGTTATGTGTTCACTACAGGACATTAATACATGAGAAATATTCATATTTCCGCACCAGGGAGGCTCCATCAGTCAACACTTCAAATATTAACAACTTTAATCAAGGCCGAAGGCTTTAACTAAATGACTGGGTGGGAGTATTCAAGTGAAGAGCAAACTTGATAAATTATCTGTGGATTTAAGTATTTCATTTATGCCCATATGCAGTGCAGTTGGCTCATTACAAGCCTTCAGGGCAGCTAGACACAATCTCTGAGCTTTGGACGTTATCAGGCATATTTCAGGCAAAGGCCTTGGACTCTACCACCATACCCCCACACCTAAATCTCAGGCTTTTCTAGGGAGTCTC